GATGGAGCAACTGCGAGCATCTAATTGCTCTTCTGGTGTGGACAGGGTGGAATGGTGTGAATTTAAATGCACGCACTGTCTTCTATCAGAAGAGGATAGGCTCTTGGTTAGTTCAGTATAGTCTTAGTCATTGACCAATTACTTTATTATCTTCGGTCCACAGATTTAAAAAAATGTAGTTTAATGTATTCGCTTCTACAAAATTTCGTCCTGTGGGATGTATCATACTGCACTTTATTTTTAACCACTGCTTACCTTGCTGTCAATGTTTATCCGTTCAGTTAATATTATCCTACTTATCAACATTATCTTAATTCAAAATAGTAATACTGATATAACTTCTGAAACTTTGAATAAAAAAAGTGCTAAAGGTGTGAAGTTTAAATCAGTTGTTCTAACAGGGTATCAAAAATGATACTGCAGCAATCACAAATATCACACTTTAAGCTTCTCCTAATACCCATTTAACGACAATATATTTACAAATTTTTTTCATGACAAAATGTCAACACTTCATGCAAAAATATAATCAAGTATTGTGCGGTGCAGGGCACCGTTGATTCGATGGGTCAGGGTAAGGGACACATCGGTCCCCCCCCCGTTCCCCACCACCCCTCCCCTCAATCATCGATCACCCTCCAGACACATCCCTTGATCACTCTTCTGCTCCATCACGCCATGGCTCTCCTCTCCACCCCATATCCTATCAGCCCTCGCCCAACCCCAGCCTCCCCTTCCCTCTATCCACCAAAAACTCTGACCCATCCTCAGTCACCTCCCCCGCAGCTCCCATCTCCCGCCACATGACATGCTAACTAAAATAACTTAGTCTTCATGTTAATTTCGACTCATTTACTTCGTCTCATTGTAGTCAATCATGATTGGTCTTTCATGGGAAGTCGTCATTGCCATGCTTGATATTTGTCCACTCATAGTCATCGTTCACTAATATAAAAACACTTTGTTGGCAAAAAAAAAATTTCAACAATATAATTTGCGACATTCACACTCCCAAAGATGCTACAACTGACAGTAAAAGGTTTTATATAACGTTGTTCATGCAAATCGCTCATGAACCACGGACAAGCTGGCGGGCTGCCAGGCAGTGAGTCTGCGTTAAAAATTGCTCTGCAGTTCTCTATATATTAAGATGTTTTCAGACAATCAGTGAGCGTTTATACATGTGGGAGGAAATCGAAGCGCCTGGAAAAAACCCCCATGCATGCGAGGGCACAACACTCTTCCCCCTACAGAATGGACAGATTATATCACCGCACACTTTGCTCTACTGCATTCCGCTGGAAGGCCAGGCTATTGCAATCTGGATGGTCACGGGAAGGGAAGTCTCACAACAGTTTGTCACTTGTGCGATTAATTCACCAACCCTGGCTTCCACCGCGCTGGATTACAGCCGGCGTGCGCCACCACTCCGTGTAGTATCCACGTTCAACGCGATTTAAAACAGTCACCCACACAATCAATGCACTTTTCACCGTCCGTAAATGGCTCGGTGAAAACCCTGTGGCTCTCCTGGCTGCAGCCAACGGCTGATACTTCCATTGCAATGGGGAATGTGTTGGATGAAGAGAGAGAGAGAGTGAAAACAAATAGCAGGGGACGACGAGGTGAGATGCGGTATTGTTGTCAATGCAGCATTCCTTGTGGCCAGCCGCTGTCGTTCAATGGGAAACGAAGTGGTGTCACACGTGATTGCGTTGCAGCAGAGCATCTCGGATGTTCTTCGCTGACCGCGTCCCGTTCGAACGCACGTGCAAACCTCTGCAGGGCGCCAATGGGCTGTCCAAATATGGCGTCACGCGATTTTGGACGATTTTTGACCCCCCCTTCCCCCCTTCGTCACACGGCGTCACAAAAAGTCAGACACCCTCCCCCCTCAAATATGACGTCACAAAGCTCTGCCCCATCCCCCCAAAAAATAAAACATGCTTCAAATTGTACTCTTTGGTTTTTTCGGTAAAGTCACGTAGGTAAAAAAATAAAATAAAATAAATGAAAACAACTAAATCATTTATTTTATTTTATACCTACGTGACTTTACCGAAAAAAACAAAAAGTATGAATCCTTGCAGACACGAAAGCTCCAAATCTAGAATGCTTCAAATCGCTTTAAACTATTGTAATTGTAATGCGTATTTAATGTAGCGCTGCACTCTGATGTTGTAGTAGAAAACATTTATTAAAACGTCTATTTCATCAAGTAGAACGTGTTGTCTATGTTTATTTTAAGTTGCGCATTTTGATGTGACGTCACATTTCTCACCCCCCCCCCCCCTCGTCACACATCGTCACAAATGTCTGACCCCCCCCCCGTGCGTGACGTCCCTGCAGATGGGCACGGCCACGTGGCTTTGTTAGTGGAGTTGATGTCTGATGCACATCCACATCCTGCCGCTTTGTTCCGTTGTCATGACGCTGGACCCCACACCTCACCGCCACGATCACAATTGCATTTTCCACAGTGACACTTTGGATTTACGAGGCATCTAAATGCGACTCCGTCTGATGACATTCGTCAGGAATGTCCCGGTTCAGAGCGTCATAGGTGCCTGCAAACCTCGAGGCATGTGGCCGCGGTGCACATATACGACAGTAGCCCCAAGGCAGCCGGCAACGCACCTGCGCGCACCGTATTTGGACAACGCAGTTCGTCCACGAACAATGGCTCGTCAACGATGTTTGCCTTGCCGGATCTGAACGATTCACCCACCAATAGACACCCCTCGCGGTTCAAACTGACATCACTGTACACGCTGACCATCCACTCGTGCATTTGCTTTGCCTCGTCACTCACTCCTTCAACAGGAATGTGATTGTGGAGCATTGTTTGCGGCTGACCTCAACTCTGCTCGTTTCGCTCACGACTGCGGCACCATTTAGGACGCAATTTAAACTGTGCAGTGCTCGAGCGAGGGCGTGCATTCCTCTCAGCATCATTTGCACATAAGCACGCCTGGTGCTTTCACTATCGGTGGCATTACTTTTGACTAAGCCCTCAACATTAGCAAATGGAATGAAGGCATCAAACCCATCCTTAGGGCAAGAGGCAATGCAACAGAAAAATCCAATTTTCGTAGCCCACAAAGGTGTTGACAGAACCAATGTTCATACGTTGTTCCTATATACAAGTTAGGAGTAGCATGCTCTTTGCACAAACTATGCCAAGGTCTGCTGGCATGATTAGGTTATTCGTTGCAGCATGCTGAGGGCACCCCTTTTTTAATCTTTCAGTGGTTATTGTGACATTAGCTTCTTCCCCCTAATGATTGGGAGGCTGAATTAAGAGCAGCGTTGTCTTCTGCCCGACCCATTGCCTTCCCAGAGCTATCCAGTCTTATCTGCCTGGGTTTGAAATCAGAGATTTCCTTTTCGTAGAGATATATCGGTTCACGGCACCGTTTTCCATTTGAACCCGTGTGGGTTTCCCCTGGAGGAGGACTTCCTCTCTCAACAGACCGAGGGACGTACGCTCACGCTGCCATTGTATCTCAGCGGGCGGTGTCAACACGTTTACCAATTCTAGATTTGAAGCTTTCGTGACTGCAAGGATTCCTATTCTTAGGTTTTTTCGGTAAAGTCACGTAGGTAAAAATTTAAAATTAATAAAAGTAAAATAAAAATAAAATAAAAATCACGACGTTTCGGAGGCAACACAAGCTTCCGTCTTCAGGTGGAACCGTCACAGCACGACTGCTGCATCAAGTATGAAGCTTGTGTTGCCTCCGAAACGTCGTGATTTTTATTTTATTTTTATTTTACTTTTATTAATTTTAATTCTAATTTTTTACCTACGTGACTTTACCGAAAAAACCTAAGAATACCTTTACAAATGTACACATTTCGCTCTGAACCAAAGTGTGTTTTGCAATAAAATTAAATAAAACGTCTAAATGCATGTACACACCATTATCTGCTACTTTATGTTCTCGTGCATTGCAAATGTGTCATCATCATTTTCAGGCTTGGTAAAAAAAACGCCCGTGTTGTGTCGTTTAGAGGCACAACTGATGGCTCACACATCTCGGTGCTCTGAAGCTCCTATAACCTGCTGGGTGGCGAGGTTTCCAGGAGATGGTTGTACATTAAATGTGTTTGTGGATCCCATCCCTACATATGCTAAACAAGCCATTGAAGAAAGAGCTGGTCAGGAAACCCACTGGGACTTCTTCAAGTATTACTGATTTGAGGCTCCGCATGAATAAAGGGAACGACTAGCTGCGGTGTAGTGGTTAGCACACTGGACTTGCAATCCAGAGGTCAGTGGGTTCGATTCCATCTGCCGGCGTGGCATTTAAAAACATGGTGCAAATTTCTTAAATTCCACCCCCCACCTCCACTGCCACTGTCCACCCAGCAGTGCAAATGGCTCCACCACAGTTAGTCAACCTGCAGGTCAAGTGTGGTGGGGTCAAGTGTGGGTTATCCCACCGCTTCCAAACAGATATATGACCAGCGTGGAAGAGTAGGCCAAATACCCGTTAGAGCTCGATTTAGTGACGGGCCTTCCGCACGCAGTGGCGTGAGCAAGCAATTGCAGAGATGCACCTCTACCTGACTGGTAATTATAAAATAATAAATAGCACACATAAACGGGGATGATTTGTATGGAATTGGGGCAATCTAACACGTGCCCGGTATCTCCCTCTAAATCTTTAGAACACCCCCTTCATTGTATCGAGGTAGGGAAAAGCAACAAACTAGGTGTATACAAATTTAATGCGCTCGCAAATTAAATGATATGCTCGATAGCTATCGCCAGTAAATCAGGTGGTTTTATAAAGGACAGATTGCTTTTGTATAAAAAGATTACCTTAAATACATTAAAGGTCATTCTTGCTCAGAGAAGGATCGATGCTTGTTAAGGCCGGGCAGGTTTGCTGTATCAAAACGATCTTCAACGCAGGTTTGATGAACCCAACCTGATTATTCCAGCGGTGCACAGTTTGAAAAGGTGGGGCGGTGGGGCGGGGGTGGGGACATACCGAGGCGGTACCACGATATTATGGGAGGCGGCTGACCCAGCGCGAAGCATTCCAGCACGGCGGCCTGGCCGACTACCACCGTGATGTTCTCGGGCGGCGCCACGATGATCACGTCCGCTGGCTGCGGCCTCAGTGTCACTGGGGGGGGGAAAGGACGGGCGAGAAAAAGCATTCACGTTTACCCAACCCCTAGATAGAGATCGGCCTTTCGTGCATGAAACAACTAAATTAAATGACGACGTAGCGAAAGCAGTGTGTCCACACTTAAGCGGTTGTGCTTTCGCTACGTTGTCCCCACCTGAAGAAGGACGCTTGTGTTGCGTTCGAAACGTCGTGATTTAATTTAGTTGTTTTCATTTATTTTATTTTTTACCTACGTGACTTTACCGAAAAAAACAAAGAGCATGTCATTATTAAGTTAAGTTTTTTTTACAGCACACCAAACCGCACTCATATACCAAGCTATGTCACGATGTTGATCCCAATCCGCCTTCAATAACTCCCATAGCTATGAATACTCTGATGTGTTATCCAGTCGTATCTCTCCGACACATATATCCAATTCTTTAGTGAATCTGTTGCACGTGAATTATGATTTGCTCATATTTATTTTGAAGCCCACTTTTCAGTCTTCCTCATTACATTCCTCTATCGTTTACTCTGGAATATATATATAATGTTCTTCTTTACGCACACTGGTATGCTGCTCTTCATTATCCAGTTCAGTTTTTCAATGGCACCTCAACCTGTTTTACTTTGCCTTTGTATTTTATCATTTTGAAACTGGCCCACCATCAATCACGGTCCTCGGCAAACAAATGTTGCTGTGTTTTCCAATTGTGCCCAATAACAAAATATGTCTATGCTGTATTCAGTCAAGGGGGTTTCTTGGACTGTGTTTGCAACGCTGGTCAGTGCAGATTGTATGATTGTATGTTGAACTTCTTTCGCACCCTACTTAGCCAACCGTGCTAATCGGAGGTGCAGGAGAAGGACAACAAACTAAAAAAGGGGGCACAGATTGGGTGAAGGGAGGGCACAGGATTGGTCCAGATACCGCACGCCGCTGACGCTGACCATGGCTGGGAATATAACTCAGGTTCCTTAGTTCATATCGGAGTGAACTCATCACTTTGCCACTATCCAACCCTCATCAGATAATCTGTGATAAATCACAGATAATGTTTTACAGTATTTTGAAAGGCAACTCACAAGTTATAGGCATCTGTTTGTCTGTCGGTACAAATACTAACTTTTGCGAGTTGCATACCATGTATTAGGGCTGGGACAATTTGTGAAATAAAAATTGTTATTGACACATTTTTTTGCGGACAATTACTCGGACCCCTTCAAAAAAATTCTGGTGCCCTACATTCTGCCTATCGAAGGTGGGAAATCCCCTATGCCATGCCCAGCGTGATGAGGCTGATGATGCTGATGATGTAACCATGTCCCAACCATCACTCTCCGTCCAACGGTCCACGTGGGAACAGAGGTGAGATTATTTCCCAACTATTTTCATGTAAAATCTTGACTTAAAGCTTTCGTGACTGCAGGAATTCATACTCTTTGGGTCTTCCGGTAAAGTCACGTCGAGAGTGGTTTTTTTCCTGAAGACGACCGCTTATGTTGCGAACAAAACGTCAGTAGTTTTTTTTTTATTTTCTTTGAACCTTTCTACGTGACTTTACCGAAAGACCCAAATAATATTTTCATGTTGTCTGCATAGTCAAGTAATCAAATCCATCATCAGAAGAGTAACGAATGGCATAAATAATCGCATAACCCCGTTCTACCATAAAGTCTGCCCATGTTGTACATTTTGCTGAATTACACAGCCCACATGTTAAAGAATCCGAGTTGAATATACAACCTCTTTAGAGTAATAATTGTGCCAGTGGAGCAAGTCTTTTGTTTAGGCAGAGGCAGAACCTGAAATTAATCTCACTGTACACAAGCCACTGAAAATGTTCACACCAATTATGATCATTATACAGTGAGTGGATCTGCCAGCAAATTAGGAAGTAAATTATCCTCATAAATCCAGATATTGTAATACTTATACTTTCCCTGGCGGTGTTGTGGTCAGAGTGCTCAGCCTGCTACTGGAAGGTTGCAAGTTCAAACCCCAGTCAGGGGTAGACTCAGCCTATTAAACCACCAGAGTCACAAAGTGAGCAACCACTTTAGTGTAAAGTCAATCGAGGCCATGAGCATGGTGCAATGTTGACCAGCAGTGATTGTCTCATGCTTGTCTGAGCAGGGAGATACATTGACTTTGACTCGACGTTCACTCTTGGCAGGTGGTAAATCCCAAACAACTTAAATATCTCAGAGACACTGCATCTTCACATCTCTGATGCAACAACTATTACTGGCGTGTCAGGGTTTGTTAAGCGACATAAACACCGATGGTTCTTTTCTCTCTGAAATTCACACCACGACAAACGTCACTAACATTTATCACATCACATTTGCAGGTTTACTATGGAATCCCTCGCAATATATTTAGCTGCCAAGAGACTGTTGTGCTTTTGATGTTACGTGGCTATAATTGATTCATCATCGATTTCGGTGTGTAATTGTTCACATGCAGATTTTTGCGTGAGTTTAGGTAAATAATGCATTATAATTTTTGGTCAGAAATATTGGTATGAAAATTATTGAGTCAATTTTTGATTGCTAAGTAGTTAATCCTTCGATAAATTATGTTTTAAATATTAAGTTTAAATGAAACGTATTTTTTATTGAAATAAAAGTTACATTTTAACTGGCTAGGAGTATTCAAAATAATGTGACGATGACAGAGCTATGATAATTCAACAACTTTCTCACATAATATGGTATTGACACAACATTGTTATGACACATTATTTTACAAACTGACAGTCTGAAAGAGCAATTTATCCAACTTGACAAGTGTAAATGATCCTCACATTATTACCCTTGAAGTTTTTGGAGACAAAGTATGATTTTTCATCGCATCTTTTGACAACATCACATGCGGTTGCCTTGTATTTTATATTTCTGGAAGATTTAATTACATTTCAGATGCACACCATTTATTGTATTGGCTGAGATTGGTAATGAAACGGTGGCTAAATAAGGGAACACACCCAAGAGGATGACCACTTCTGAGTGAGATGAATTGTGCAGGAGTGAGATTGTGCAGGAGTGAGATGATTGTGCTATCACGAGACCACGAGGCCATTGGAGATGTTGCAAAGACGCCTTCGGTGAACGATGTTGATGATCCCCATTAATACGCCACCGGTTCCCGCATTAAAGAGCACTGGGTGTCACTCGTCAGCTCGGCATACCCTGCTGCACAGTGAGGATGGCCTCGGGGCTGGTGCGTCGCCGTGCTGTGTTGGAGGCCACGCAGCGGTAGAGGCCAGCGTCGCTCAGCCGCACGTCACCGACGTGAAGCACCCCGCTGGGTAGTTCTGTGTGTCTGAAAGAAACAATCATTGAAATGAGTCTTCTTGGTTCTTTCGGTAAAGTCACGTAGAAGGGAAGTAATAAAATAATAAAAATAAAACATAATAAAATAATTCTCACGACGTTTTGGCCACAACGCAAGCAGCCGTCCTCAGGTGAAGAACATGTCTTTTTTTTTTAGACTCTGTCTTATCGACAGACATGTTCTTCACCTGAGGACGGCTGCTTGCGCTTGTGGTCGAAACGTCGTGAGAATTATTTTATTATGTTTTATTTTTATTATTTTATTACTTCCCTTCTAAGTGACTTTACCGAAAGAACCAAGAAGATGAATCCCTGCAGTCACGAAAGCTTTAAATCGAAATTGAAATGAGTGTTGTGTGAAGAAGTATCAGGGTTAATCGCTGTGGCTGGAACCTCTTGCAAAGGTGCATTCACAACAGAGGTGGCAGGGTAGCTCAGCGGACTCATGCTGTGGCAGAGCAGTGCATCTGCACCACAGGGATCCTGGGTTAAAATCCGGGTTTCTTCCTCCTGTGATAACTCTGGATCCTGAATTGTAGTTTCGTATTGTCATAAATACTGATCGTAGAGGCAGCTAAGACAATTCAGTACATGTAATAACCATGATGGAATACTTTTTGCTATTATCTAACCCAATAAAATTTTTATTATTTTGGGATTTACAAAAGTATAGGAGAATCAAAGATCCCCTCGACCCCATAGATACTATTAGGGTGCCACATTAGAGCAGTTGTACTGTAATATAGTATTCATGTTCATTTGGATAGTATGACTGTTATGCTCATCACTAAAAGCTGTAATTCATTATATTAATTATCATGGAAATGTAATGTTACCACAATAATCCTCACCAACAGCTATACTAGGGATGCTAATTACATGGGAATGGAGATGATATCAATAGTAAACGATATTTATAAGCAACACTCATATAAATGATCATTTACTAAGATTCATGACACTAATGTTTCAGCAAACCCATAAAGACACTTAAGTGACCACAAGTCAGAGTGTATATAAATAGTTTAATAATTTAATAAGAAACACTTAGAAAATTGAGCAATGAGCCTGGAAAGATTCATGAAGTCGTGTAAAAAATGAAAGGCTCAATTCTATTCTATTCTTGTTCAAGGGATAGATGCCAATGCCAAAGGCACAACATACTTGCTCATATGCTGGGCATACTATGAACTGACAGAGCCATTTCCCCTCCCATAGCTGCAATTTCTAAAATAATATTCTGAATTGCCTTCCATTTGTAAGGGCAAAGATGAAGCATATACTCATGTGGGACAGGATAGGAAAGGCTCAAAAAGTGTAAAACATAAAGAATGAATACAGTGTTTAAAAAACCAATATGGTATCTGAGTCTGACTGATTGAGCCTAAACAAATAATAATAAACATTAATAATCGTAGGCATACCTTCGTTTGGATCTGTGAACCTCGCGAATGATCGATGCACCCAAGAATATGTAGTGTGCCTTTGGGCTCCACGAGTCTCAGAAATTAACACTGAGCCATGAGAATGCTCCACGGTACCCCATGTTCTGAGCTTCACGAATTATTGATGAACGTCACTATTACTCAGTTGTAATACCATACACCCATGACGCTTTATTAGACTTCAATATTTAGTGCTGTTTTGACCTAGTTTAACGTTGATTAGGCTCTTCAGTATTCAACTGTATTTGGCTGATTATATTTCTCATGCTTCCTGATGTTTATCAGAAATTCTGCTGATCTTGAGCAGTGTTTGGTTAAGTTCCCGTACCCAATCTATGGTCTCTTTAGATTTAACTCTCACCCATTTCCCCTTTGTTTTAACCTTATGAGCTGGAGCCCCTGCGCTGTCCCAACTACGGTTGTGTGTCTTCCCAGAGCATTAATGATGATTCTTTACGTTCTGTAATGTTTGCAAGAGTCGCGGGTTACGGTGGTTATCTAAAAATATATTTTGTTACATTCAAATTTGACTTGTAAAGGTGTCCTCTAGTACATATAGCTCATTTAACAGCCAGAGTCTGCAATAACGAGGCTGCAATCCAATGATATTTGCAGCCCTAGTCATTAAAACAGATTCAGAATATGTATTTATATTAGAGAATCCGATGAGCTATAAGGCCCTTTTTCACAGATGTCCAGTAGTGGTGGGTCAGAACGCTACGGCAAAAGAAATACAAAAACACGATAGGAGTGCAAAGTATAGCAAAGATAAGCAAATCACTTAAAACATACAAATAAAAGTAAACAATTTTTATTTTTATTCTATGCTTCTTTCGGTAAAGTCACGTTCCTGATGACGACCGCTTGTGTTGCGATCGAAACATCGTGAGATTTTTTAATCACTTTCTTTTTATCATTATTTTTTCTATCTACTTGACTTTACCGAAAGAACCAAGAGAATATGAATACCTGCAGTCACGAAAGTTTTAAGTCACATTTTTTTTATTTTACCAGGTAAAGCCCACTGAGCTATTAGCTTCTTTTTCATGAGCGACCTGGCCACAAATGATAGCTCAACGAAGTGGCTGATCATGTGGAAATACATAACAGCCAAATACTCTAAACATATTCCCTGCACTCATCTTTATACATAAGATATAACCTATCATTGATTTGTATCATCTGATGAGTTTATTGTCTCTGATATATGAATATATCATGATCCACGTGTTCCCTTATCTGTCTCTCTGTGTCAGTCCAAGCATGCGTCTTTCCATGCACTTTTCAGGTTTACATCTATATTCTTTGTCAGTTTCCATGTTTCTAGTCCATATCATGTCTGGCAACAAAGACTCTTTATTTGATCCTTTTGATCCCAATCCATTGTCAATAACTGCCCTCGGCACAAACATTCTGCTGCGCTTTCAGGTGGTGACCCTTCAGTGGTTATTTAACTTCGTTTCGAAAACTTGTTGTGTGTTACTCTTATTGACAATTACGAACGGTGAATGAGCTCCTGCAGAATACGTCGCTGGACGGGGTCATTGCAAATGGACGAGACTGGTGATGGAGTGGCAGCCAAAGTAGAGAACGCGTCGCTCCATCACCGTGGAGATGGAGCGACGAGATCAATTCAAGTGCAGAAGATGAATGGTAGCAGCACTGCGCCATGAGGGAGGCCTCCATCCAGCAGTGGATAGACAATGGCTGCTGATGATTATTATTATTTCCATTTCTGACGTTTTATGTTGTGACTGGGCATTACTGTTAACAATCATTTTGTCACCAAACTGTTGAGAGTTTGAAGGTGTTTGGATAGTATAAACAAATAAAATGGTGTTCTTGTTAAAAGACATAACGGTTCAAGCAAGGATAATAATTTATCGATGGACGGTAGAGAAGAACCGGGAATATTGGCAGAATATTTGAGTACGTTTAGTAGACTTTAAGCACCGAAATTCTATTCTAGTGAGAAGGCTGTGGGAACTTGGCCACAGTCTTGGCGTGTCTTTAATTTTCCATTCATGAAGATGTGCACATCGGTCTGTTGGTGTTCTGAAGCGGTTGATGGTTCCACCAGTGTCCTTAAGAGGTATGTTAATGCCAGGAGGTGCGATGTTTGGGTCTAGAATTGAGTGCTTGTATACACGTGTGCACACAAGCACACAAGACAGGATAGATTTCCAAAAAGTGCTCTTATCAAGTACGATACAGCAACAAGACCTGTGTGCATTTCAATAATGTATGCACACGTTTCATATTCAAAATGTGTCATTCTTTTGTCAGAGATTGGACTTGCCTTTTATTTTTGTCCCATCATCATTGAAGTAACCTTTTTAAAGATAATTGGTTTAACGCTCTGTCATTACCCTTTGGAGGCTTTGAAAATGTATGCAAGGAATTAGCAAAGTGCACATCTGCCATATAATGGATCTTAGAGACACTGCGACATAAGTAGGTAATTACATTGCATAAGTAGTTACAATACACTACCAAGCACAATATGTACTCGTAAAATTATCCAAAGCACAGATGCAAAAGATAAATCCAGATGGAAAGGCTCATTACCAGCTTCATTATGATAATGTGTAAATTGTACACAGACCGGTAATTACTTTTTTGTGTTCTAGTAAAGCAATGGAATCCTATTAATAAAACATTTAAAAATTAGTCTTCCATAAAGACAAGCCATTTCATAAAATAGAGCAGTTATAATTAAGGACATTTTTTTCTCCAAGATCTTACTTATTCCTAATTAAAGACAGAGAATGGATTTCTCAACATAGCCAAGTGGGATGTTTGGGTCTTTTTCTATAGGTTGGAAGCAATTTCGTTCTGCTTGGCAAGTACACGATAATTTTTCAGTAGACAGTCATGGTTATATTCGCATTCTTAAAAAAGAAGATTAAGCAGATGTAATTATGTATTCTGCCTAAGTGCTGTACGTAACTTACACAGGTTAAGGCACTGAACTGAACGCAAATATGCCGACAATAATTCATGATAAATGTGGAGATATTAACATTCAAATAGCTCAGTGAGGCTCTGATTGTTGCAAATGATGGGGAAACTGTTGGCATCTGCACTGCTGTGCCTGGTTTCAGAGTGTACCTCACCGACTGTGCACCAAAGTGCACATCGCTGGCTGTTGCCACGTAAAGGGGAAACACGTCGCCATAGCAACCGCAAAGTGAAAAAACCTGACAACATTGCTGCCAGATAAGAACAATACTAATTTCTTACGACCGTGGAAACACCAACAAACATTTGTATTGCACAAAAAGTGTAAAGAAAATGAAAAATATTACACATGGGACGCCCATCACTGGCTATTTTCCTTAGCTGATAAAATACTTGGTATTGTACGGTAGTCTGAGACCAATAACATTGTCGAAGTTAAAAGTAGATATTAACTATTAACATTCAACAAAATTATCCTCGATGTACCTACCCGAGAGAGGTGATTTTCCGAGTTAATTACCTACCAATAATTGAAATTGCAACCTTCCAATTTATAGGCAAGCCCTCGTGCCAAAGCCAAGGG